TAAATGAGAATATTCTAACTGAACAATGATGTTCATTGTCGTACTGACATTTTTTGACGTTTTTGTAAACAAAAAATAACTTAACAAACCTTATCAGGTTGTTGGAATTGCCATATGGCAGATAAAAAGGAATATTTCTAGAAATATCGATATTAATGTGTTTGTCTTCAGGAAATTATTAAATGTTCCGTCATTTTGTAGTAGGTGAAGATATTGACATTATATTCAAGGGTTGTGAAGTATTCGTCAGGAGCTTCAAAATGATGTGTCACAAGATCCCCCTTTCCATTCAATTTTTTCTTGAAAGTTCACTTCAAAATAAAGTATTCATGCATTAATTTCATTATCCCCAATTTCAATTTTTTGAGTTGACTTGTTCAAAAAATTAAAGGGGGGGTGCATTAAAGAAATGCACTGTATATCAGTGGAAAGTGAAACTAAGTTACAAATCAGTGAATCATGCGATACTGTTTTATCCGATTTGATCTTATAAGTAAATTTAACTAGTGATGCAAATAGTCCTTCATAAACTAATCTGTTTTTACAATGATAAAAATAGTGGCTAGAAAAATAATAGATCAGTAGATGGAATGGGATTTTTAAAATATTACTAGCTAACCCGGCACACATTTTTTTTTCTATGAGAACAATAACCCTTACAAATAATAATATTCCCTGAATGCTATTGTGTATACAATATTTTTCGTTACTCCATGTTTAGCTTACACACAGCTTACACGGTTTGCCCACTCTAGAGCATGCCACGTATAATTGTCCTTGTGAAAAACATGGTGTGCTCAATTCCAAGACACAAACGGACATTGCAAATGCCAATCTAATTAGAAATTGCACACGTTTGAAATGAATTGGTGTGAGTCGGCCTTCCTATAGTTTGGTGTTTTGGACACTCACTATAGGTAGGGAATGAGCCACCTCGCTTACCTGATTTTATGCGATGGCCCAAACCAGCCGTACTACATACTCTTAGAACGCTCGAATTTACCCTCTCTACGGCAAGGGAGCTGTTTACCGGAGAAGATGTTCGGGAAAGTTCGAAACGCCTCAAGTATGCCACAATAATAAACTTCCTGTTTGGAATCGAGCGGCTGATCCCAAACAGGTTAGAGGTTGCTTTGGTTAACTAGATGTTTGTTATAAACGAACTGAATGACAAGTCAACATACATTTTAAACATGTATTGAATAAGAAATAGAAACTAATATCACAATAGCCAAAACAAATGAAACAAAGAACATCAGGTGCATAATAATTACCTAAACATATGCCGTCGGGGTAATCATCTACTAAAATAAAAAGCGTGTACGCTAACATTACCTTTGACAAATTTTACTACAAATAACAGGTACGCCATTTTACTCAATTTTGATAACTCAGGGCAGAAACGATACCAATATACAATAATTGCTCTTCGCACCTCTGTATGCATAAGCGAGATAATTTGACAGGTTTACCAATCATTTTACAAGTGTTCGATACACTTGTCTAAAAATTTAGAGAATCGAAGTAAACATCAGAGAACATAATATCAATAAACGAATACACAACTTTAACGCAATAAAAACCATGACAATGGCACACACATAAAATATTGGATTCCACTATCATATTTGAGACTCTGCTCACCTATACTTTATCATCAAATATAACAAAACCAGAATAGAAATAATGCATAGCACAATTACTTCAAATGTAATTAAACAACTATCATTAGGCAACCATAATACCTATTATATATGTCACAATAGACAAGATCAGCAATGATTTCTCCATAAACATTACACACAAATCATAGTACATACATCGTAGCAACATAGATAAACGCGAGATATCACCCTATAAATCATTTGCAATAAACATAGTATTGATATAACAGTAACTCTTCAAGTCATAATCAATAAACAACGAAACATTGATTCGAAACAGATTTCAGAGGGGATTGTGACGATACCTTTCATTAATCTTCGGAGATAGTTATTCTGGACATTTAGACTCATTACAACTTAGTTACCAAGAAAAGTTCAGTTTTTCTTTCAGAATGATTCTCACATAATAATAAAAGTGAAAAATAACACTTCATCTTTCGGTTTCGGTAGTAAATTGCTGCCACTTTTCCTTTCTTCGGAATTTACCGATAACGCCTACTTGACTTATTTCGACACCGCGGACTGATTGCCTTCATTCATTTTTACCCCTAATTTCGCGTGTTTTACTCATTCTAAGCTCGAAGAATTTTCCGGTTTGATTATAATCTTGGTTCATTTCAGAATTAACACTGGTAGTTACGGAACTTCATTTTCAACTGATTACATTTTTATTACGCGTATTTTCGTTTTCACTGACGGGGGTATTTTCCACTTGGTGTTTCAAACTGAACTGACTAACATTTCTGATTAATTTCGCGTAAACTTTCACTAACGGAGTAGGTTTTACTTCGACTGGTCAAACTAGACTGACTATATTTTTACTATTAACACTTTCACTGACGGAGATAACTTCATTTCGACTAACCAAACTGGACTGAATTAATGAAAATTTCGTTCTCATATTTATAGTACGAATAATGATGCAATAATTTGAACACCTGCAACTCGCAGCTGCGCGACTTCCTTTGTTTAACGCGGGTCTGCGACCTCATTAATTATCGACAGCAAATTATATAGCGATGACAGGTTTTATGATTATTACACCGATGCCTACAATTCTTATCTTATTCGGCGGTCAGAACACCTCGGGGCTTTCGTTTAATTAAGATAATTGGTGGCGCGAGTCAAATTGCGGTAATTGATCAATTTAACTCTTCTCCGGGCCTACATACTTTAATCACGATGTTTGTCAAATTGACACATTGGCACATCTGTATGTATAATAGGAATTCGCGGTATTAATATATTTTCACCTTGGGACTTGCCATTTAAAATGCTGGCTTTGACAACATTTTTAGTTCACTTTTGTTTTGTCATTAATATACAATACAAAAAGTAATGGTCTAAGAAATGAACCTTGTGGCATTCCATATTCAGTTTCTCCTATATTGGATTCAGAGTCATGGCAGTTTTTTAATGCGCCTTTCAAGCATTATTTCTAACCCTACTATTATTTCTGGTTTTCATTAGTTTTTTAGCTAATTTGAACTTTGAAGGAAATATAAATTATTCCCAATTCACTAGGAATCGAAAATACACAGGGTGTTCCTCAATAACATACCAATATTCGATATTACCAGAGTTTTATCCCCACACCAAACCGTTATTTTTAACACCTCGACACGCGTTTCGATCGCTAAGTGATCGTCTTCAGGGGAAGATTGAACTGACTTCAATTTTCCTCTGAAAAGAATAAACGTGAGCCTAATCTTCCTCATGGCTCCAATCAATTTTAGAAAACTGTTTTTTTTTAACTGTTTGTGAACATATTATCTTAGAGATCCTGATTTTTTTGACTTACGAATCTTTTTTCTAGGTGGCACCGAAAAACGTAATCATGCTATGTCTCCCCAGGAAAAACGGGTGGTTGCTTACCATGAATCTGGTCATGCCTTAGTTGGTTGGATGTTGGAACACACAGATGCTTTGTTAAAAGTTACCATCGTTCCGAGAACAAGCCTTGCCTTGGGTTTTGCCCAGTATATACCTAGGGATCAAAAATTATACACCAAGGAAGAGGTATTTAAATTCATTTATATCTATTCCAGATTTAAAAAAAAATGAAAAGGTTTTTTTATGTCTCAGAGCACCATGAACTGTGAGGTCATTTGTTACATAAATCTATAAGAAATTAGTCCGGTCAATTTAGACCTGAAAACAGTAATGAAATAACGAAAATTGGGACAGACCTTAATTTTGGTGAATGCCGTTATTTTACCATAAAAAATAAAAATTTGAAAGTCCCAATCTGTCTCATGAGCGCTTCAAAAGTTATTTGGGGTCAAAGGTCAAAATTTCAGGTTTTTTGAGTTTTTCTCGAAAACCGTGAGTTTTATCAAAAAAATACTTCAGACCAAAGTTGTAGATCTCAAAATTCTCTACATAAATGGTTCTCATGATTTTTTCTGTAAGTATCACCGTTCATGAGATATCGCAATTGTAAAAGTCACGTTCTATGTAATATACACACGTTTCCACACCACCTGTGAGTTAGTGTACTCGGCGCGTTTTTTTAACGTGGTTTCTCCAGTAGGCCTAATCCACGAATCGTTATTACGTAATTTTGAGTCGCAATACTTATTTAACTGCATCAAGATTATTCGGGTTGATAATGTTTATGGAGTGTAATTGTCAGCAGTCATTATGCTATGGCAAATATTTGTACAGACTAACTTTGAATGATCTAAATTATGACGTTTTTTTAAGAATGATTTGTTCTAAAAAATATGACAACGATTCGGGAATATCGTTATTTATATCCTCAAACATTCTACATGGTGGGGGGTACATCGTATTGTCAAACACACAAGATTGAATATCTTCTCGAACGATCGCTGCCGCAGCTTTCGAAATT